GTTCTATTGGTTAAGAAGAAAGATGGCTGCTGGCGATTCTTTGTGGACTACAGGGCACTCAATAAGGAAACTATACCTGATAAGTTTCATATACCAGTTATTGACGAGCTGTTGGATGAATTGAGTGAAACAATGATCTTCAGCAAGATAGATTTGAAATCAGGATACCATTAGATTCGAATGAAGAAGGAGGATGTGCCCAAGACTACCATCAGAACTCATGAGGGACACTATGAGTTCCTGGTGATGCCTTTTGGCCTCACCAATGCTCCAGCCACTTTACAGGCACTTATGAATAAGGTTTTCAAATCTTTTCTCAGACGATTTGTACTGGTATTATTCGATGACATCCTAGTCTACATCAGGATAGAAGAGGAGCACTGGGAGCATTTAAAAATGGGTGTTAGAGATGCTGCAGGAGCACCAATTGAGAGCCAACTTGAAGAAGTGCTTCTTCGCACAAACCAGTGTAGAGTATTTGGGCCATCTTGTATCAAAAGAAGGGGTGATAGCAAATCAATCCAAAATTAAGATAATGCTAAAGTGATCAGTGCCTAAAAATCTAAAGGAGCTGAGGGGATTCTTAGGACTGACAGGTAACTACAGAAGGTTTGTAAAGGGATACAACACTATAGCATGACCACTCATGGAGCAGTTGAAGAAGGACTATTTCCTATGGGTGGAGGCTGCCACATGAGCATTTGAGAGCTTTAAGAAGGCTATGACTAGGTACTGATCCTAGCTTTACCAGATTTCACTAAGATCTTCATAGTGGAGATAGATGCGTCTGGGTACGGATTGAGTGCAATACTTATGCAGTGTCATAAGCCCATTGCTTATTTCAGCCAGGTGTTGACTGTTAGAGCTACTCTGAAGTCAGTCTATGAGAGAGAGTTAATGACCATCGTTTTGGCCATCCAAAAGTGGGGGCCCTACTTACTTGGAAGGCATTTCATTGTTAGGATAGATCAACGGAGCTTGAAATACCTACTGGAACAATGGATGGTGACAAAGGAGCATCAGAGGCAACTTTCCAAGTTTGCTGGGGTATGATTTTGAGATTTAGTACATGCCAGGAGTGGAGAACAAGGCGGCAGATGCCTTGTCCAGATGTATGGAGGAGTTGCAGAAATTGTCACTATCTGTTCCTTCGATGCTAGATTGGGAGGCCATTAGAGAGGAAAGTGCTAGGGATGAGGATCTGGAAAAGATTAGGGCAGATTTACTGAGGAAAGAGGGTATCCACCCAAGGTACTCATTGGAGGGATGGGGGGGGGGTGCAGACTGCTATATCAGAGGAGGTTTTTGATGCCCCGAACTTTGAACCACATCCCAAACTTATTCCAGGAGTTTCATGAAAGCTCTGTTGAGAGCCATTCAGGAGTTTAGAAGACATACAGGAGGCTAGCTTCGAAGCTTTATTGGAAGAGAATGTATAAAGATGTAGAGGAGGTAATGGCCAGATGTGAGGTATGTCAGAGGAATAAATACATGGCTATGTCACCAAGAGGACTACTACAGCCGTTGGCTCTACCAAGACAAGTATGGGAGGAGATATCCATGGACTTCATAGATGGGTTGCCCCATTTAGAAGGTTTCACGTGATCTTAGTGGTGGTGGACAAATTGAGCAAATATGCTCACTTCATCCCCCTCCGACACACTTACACCATGGTGACAGTGGCTTCAGTTTTCATCAAAGAGGTGGTCATATTGCATGGGGTACCAGAGGCAATAGTATCAGATAGAGATAAGTTATTCCTCAGCCACTTTTCGAGGGAGTTGTTTAGATTATAGGGGACAGTTCTGAAGAGGAGCACAATTTACCACCCATAGACGGATAGCCAAACAGAAGTAGTCAACAGGAGCTTAGAGACTTACCTGAGATGCTTTGTGTCGGAGACACCCAAGCTATGGGCCAAGTGGCTATCATGGGCTGAATATTGGTACAACACATCTTTTTATTCTGCTTCTCAGATGACCCCTTTCAAGGTGTTGTACGGATGAGATCCTCCCCACTTGGTGCACTTTGGGAGTAGCAGTACTTCAGTTTCTTCAATAGAGGAGTACCTTGAGGAGAGGGATCAAGTACTAGAGAAGTTGAAGTGACATTTGTTAAGGGCCCAACAAATAATGAAGAAACAGGCTGATGGGCATAGGAAGGACATCCAATTTGAAGTGGGGGATAGGGTGTTCTTGAAGCTCTGACCATATAGACAGAAGATAGTCTCCAACATAAGGAATGAAAAGTTTTCTCCAAGGTACTTTGGACCTTTTGAAGTGCTGGAGAAGGTCGGAGTAGTAGCATCTCAGCTGAAATTACCACCAACGGCGACTATACATCCGTTTTTTCACGTATCTCAACTGAGAAGGGCCATTGGCAATTATACATCCAGCTCCGAGTTACTGGTGACACTTACTGAGGATTTAGAGGTGGTTCTGGAACCCTTAGAGCTGATGGGGGTTCACTAGAAAGAAAATGGAACTAAGGAGGTGTTGATGAAGTGGAAGAACCTACCTGATTACGAGGCCATGCGGAAACCATTCGAGAGGGTGAAATATCAGTTTCCTAGTTTTCACCTTGAGGACAAGGTGATTCATTGGAAGGGTGGTATTGTTACCGTCCTTAATTTATTACCGGAGGCGGAAACCGTCCACCTCCCTTAGCTCTGCCCGCCCATAGTGAGGGGCCCACTTGTCCAATTGAATTCAAATTAAACCCCGCGGGGGGGGGGGGGGGGGGGGCTGGGGGTTTAGGGAGAAATTATTTGGAGAGAAATTAGATTAGGAAAGCTTTTGTATTAAAGAGCATGAGAGGATTAGGGAGGGATTATGTTTTGATTGATTGGAATTAGGGTTTCTTTGCGACTTGGGTTCTAGGCTTCTTGTCTAGAGATTGGGAGAGAACGATCCTCCTCTCGAATTGAGGATCAATTGTATCTTTGCTCATTCTTGTTTCGCTTTGCTTTCTATAAGATTATCTATCGTTTGATTGTTCTTCCACCATCGTTTATTCGTTTTTTTTTTTCTCACTATTTATCGATTATTTTTAGGTTTGCTTGCAAACTCAAGTATTTCCCATTAGGGTTACTTGCAAACTCAAGTATTTCCCATTAGGGTTACTTTCAAACTCAAGTATTTCCTGAGTTAATCTTTTATTCAAATTTGTAGGAGTTATCCTCTTTAGATAACATTTTTTTAATAGATTATAGAATTTTAGGCCAAATCTTGTTTTATTTTGAATTTAAATTCTAAATATTTTTTCAATAAATAAAGATTGGAAGAATGTTATTTGGCAATGTTCATGAATTTAATTTGAAAACACTCTTATTCCCCCTCACTTTCTGTTGTTGGAAAGGCCCCAATGCTGAAGGCGTCTTCTCTGTCCTACCAAAATTAAAGTTTTTTATTTTGCTCTCACAATTATAACATAAATGGATACCCTCCCTCCTCCCTCCTCCCTCCTCCCTCCTTCTATCAAACTACTTTCTTCAATTTTCTCACTTCTAAATAGTAAATCATGAAATTCAAAGAATTATATAAAAAAAGGGAATGTTAAAAAACATAAAATGCTACATTACTTGTTTAATCATGATTCTAGTATCAGCTATATTAAAGCAGGAGAAGAGAGCAAAATAGAAATAAAAAAAAAAGAAAAGATATTCTTAGTAATAAGAATTTTTTATGAGAATAAATATTATAGATAAATACTATAACTATTAACCGCATGGGATGATATTGACATTACAGCATCTTTAAACATATAAATCTAACACCCTAAAAAAAATCATGATGCAACAACAAGAAGCATCGAGAGTTTGTATAATGTAAGAAAAACCAAAATATTTATGCAGAGATCTGATTCAGAGTCTTTCTAAATTGAGAATTCGCTCGATGCTAGAACTAAGCATTTTCTGGGGAAATAAAAAATTGAGATTTTGATGGTGGGCCAGGCGTTGCTGAGACCGAAGTTGATGATCATCATGAGAGACGATATGGGGTGCACAAAAGATGGGATGGTTGCAATAGATAGAGACTGAAATTAGGATCATCACCGGCATTGGAATCATCAAGGGAGCCGGTATCATCACAAAAAATAGAGATGAAGACGACATTATCTCTCCGGAGCTTCTAGATAAGGATGAAAACTGAGAACTGGGCTTTGATATCATATCAGAAAACATAAATTACTACATATTTAGTTGGTTAATCATGATTCCAGTACAAGCATACTTGTATAAAGGCAAGAGAAGAGAGCCGGATTCCTATCATAAATATTAACCACATAGGATAATATTAATATGATCACATCTTTAAACATATTAATTCTAATAATTCTAACTGGGAAGATCAAGAGTATCACAATTAACAAGGTTTTCACTCTTCATTAGACACCCTTCAGCCCCTGTCTAATTACATCACTACATCTCAGTCCAATTCTCCAATGAAACCTAATAATAATTGTTTTTATGTAAAACATCAAGTTTATTTAGAGTCCACAGTCACATCTGTGGAAATTATGTTGCGGGATTCATGTAGAATGTCATTATGACCAAGTTTATTCATTTTGGACAATCTTCCCTCATTAAAAAGGGTGTGAACTACTCTATGAAACTTCCCTAATTATGCAGCATTATCTCTACATTGCAAAAGGCTTTTTCCATTAATTGAATCTATAACCTCCAGGTTACATTGGTAGCAACTTAGGTTTCATTTGGGACTGCTTTTTTTCTGCTTCGCAAAGCAGCTTTCTAGTATAAAATGAAAAAATTTTGTAATAGAAAACTGCTTTAAGAAGCAGAAAGAAAGCCCTCCCAAACGAAGCCTTAGCCACTACTCTAGCTGTGCTCTCCGTTGTGTAATATGAAATATCTGTAGGATCTCCCAGTCCAGCAGGACGTTTTCTGACCCTTGCATTTGTTATGTAATATAAGATATTTACTGTTTTTGTTTTTCTGTTGAGGTTTATAAGTTATAATTTAAACAATTCTTGCGTTGCAGATTTCTAGAGCAATGATCAAGATTGGAAAGTTCCTTTCAACAGGTCCAGTTATTCAAACTGAGAAATCGCCAAAAAAAGAAACAAAAATTTTTAAGGTAATCAGGTACCCTACATGCTTCACTAGATTTTTTTTTTTTTTTTTTTGGTGCGTTGTAGATGAAGCTGCAGTTTATTTGGACTGTTTTTCCTCCTAGTTTGGGGAGCTTCAGGTCGCATTAACTCGTGAGAAAGCTAACATAGGAGCTGCTATTGCCTTTGCTTTTGGGTACGATGTTTATGTAAATAAGATCATTTAAAATATTGCCCCCATAAACATGACCAGGTTTTGATAAATTCTAAATAAAGCATTTAATAATGTAACGTTTGCTGACCGTGAAGTTCTGCTCTTAACTCTTTCCATGAACTTCGGATATAGATTTCTTTCGTGGGAGCTAAGCCAAGGCATACAAAACGTTACAGAAAGCTCGTTTCAGTATGCGAATGATAATGCGCTCATGCTGGCAAAGGTGCTTAGCAATTTTAATATACATTTTTAGTATAGTTTTGAAATTGGTTCATATATTTTCACTTGTGACTTTATTGCAGTCACTTAGGGGATCCCTTCTTCTGATTGCTTATTCCTCTACTCTTTTGTCTGCATTTGCTTGTGTTGGTCTGCTGTTACTTGGACGCCAACTAAGCTCTGAAAAGTCGAAAGAGCCGTGAACTCGGTGTGTAAAATTTCTCATGTTTAGATAACAAATTTTCCTCATAATTTTCCATATAAAATAACAAACCGTGTATGTATACTACTTTCATATGTATCTAAGTTTCTCTTCCACCCTTTAGTTTGGGAATGTTTGCTTAGATGTCTTTATTTATTTATTATTATTATTTACATAAAAAAAAGCTACAGAATGTTAGGAAATATGTTTGGTCAACTTTTTTTTTTTTAATTGAACAAATTAGTGTTTTCAAAATTTTGAAGACATTAGGAAGTGTTTTCACTTATTTTTAAAACATATTTTATAAAAACTAGTAAAATTACACATGTACAAACTGCACATGAATAAGTTTTTACAAATAAAAATGTATATTTTACTACTACAATAATAATAACATCAAGCTTTTGTCATATTACGTGGGGTTGGCTACATGAATCTTTTTTCTTCATTGTGTTACGTTAAAAGTCAAATTTTTTGTTTAAATCTAATAAAGAAAGGTTATTTCTAATATTTTCTAACTAAATCTTTTTAGGCATACATCTATCTTTCTTAACATAAGTTAGATATAATACCTCTATTTTCCTAACCGGGTCATTTAAAAGTTGATGTTTTATGTGACCAAACCATTTAAGCCAACTCTCTCTAATCTTATATCACATCGGAGTTATTTACTTACATTAATTAATAAGTTTATCAATAACAATGATTATAGTAATGATTATTTATATCAATATTAATAATGATCATTTATGTTAATATCAATTCATAATCATTTATGTTAATAGAATTTTAAAATTAAATTTATATGTTGTGTCCATATTGATAAGTTTTTTAAAATGAATAAAAAAATATTTAAAAGATAAAAAAAGTTTCATTTTAATAATAATATATCACACTATTGATAAACGCACACTATGGTAATATACTCAATTAACAAAGGTCATAAAAAACATTTAAAATCATATTTATTCTCAAGAATGTGATCATTTCAAGATAAAGCATAAATTATATCAAAATCTATTGTACATATTAACTTAAGCGAGAGTCTTGGAGTTAAATAAGATATTAAGCAACAAAATCATAAAGCAAAACAAATTTCATTGGAAGAGAAATTTGGACTCATAACTTAATGAGTGTAGATAAAAGGTTAATACGTCAATTGCTATACATTAAGTTCTCCATTGATATGCAGGATTAGCTTTAAATTTGGATTTTTTTTTTGCTTCTCAATGTCATAAATTTGAAATCCTAACCACAAATAAATGTTAAAGCTCTAAATTATTCAAAAATAGAAAAAAAAAAAAAAAAAAAGATTTTAGCTCAGTTCTTTGAGGGTTCTCATCTTTGCACTCGGAAGTAACAATATATGAGTAAGCAACTAACGAAAGCATCATACCAAATTGAGTCATATAAATGATATCCGTGATAAGAATTTTTTGCTTGTAATGAAAAGTAGAATAAAAATAAGCAAGAGATCTATCTATGTTATTGTACAGACTACAGATGCAAAAATCAACATACTCATCATTGGATTCTAAAAATAAATAAGAGGCATTAGTATATTAAGGCTTAAGTGGTACAAAATTGTAAGCTAAATTCTAATTTCAAAATAAAAAAAGTAAGAATTGATATTCTAAAGTTTTTCATATTCAAAAAGGAATATTCATAGCTTTTAATACCAAAATTAATATAAAGTACTGCATTTTTTGAGTCAAAAGAATGACAATTATTTACACCAAAAATTTTCTCAGAAAATTTATTCAAAATCCTATTGATGATATAATGTTCTGATTATTGAAATTAATTCTTAAAATTTAATTATAAGAAGCTAATATGACACAACTAAATATATGATATTTATATTAAATATCTAAGCAGAAATTATATTATTGAAAACTCTATAATGAAAATATTTGTATGTTATCTCTAGCAATTTATATTATCTAAATTACATCAACATATCAAAGGCATATGTTAAACGAAGACAATACATGCATAAAGTGTCAAGCTGTATTAAATCATTTTTAAAAAAGGTAACTATCAATCAAATTTTCATATATATATATATATCTTAAATCTCTAGATAACGAAATATGAATTTTTCACTATAAAAGGTCATTAAATAGAAATAAAATGATTTTTCATATTATATAAATTAGTAATGCTAAAATGTGATCTATTCAATTATTTACAGGTGATATCTAAAACATGATCGATATTATTAATTCTTAAAATAAAAACTTTTTAGGCTAAAATATTACCGAATTCTAATCATATAATAGTGAATATATTATTGCTATTAGTTGTACCTATTCTTAGCTTATTTTCATATCATGATCAATATAGAAGCACAACCTAATATTTAATATTGAAGAAAGAAGAAATTTGATTTTATTTGTAGAATGATTTTAGTATTATAAATATATGGTTTGAATATGATTAGATTAAAATTTGAAAGTTCAAATTGTTGCGTCCAGGAGTATTCGCGGCAGTAGAGAAATATAAAGTTTAACGTCTTAACATTGTATGAAAATCTGGCACGCAATCAAATAAGAGAGGGTACGTCATTCATTAGAGACACAAAGATTTTTACGTGGAAAACCCATGAATACGAGGAAAAACCACAGGGCCTAGCCCAGTTTAAATGAATCCACTAGTATTGTAGTTGATTACAAATGAGGCCCTTCCTTAGTAGAAGGCCTTAGCTTGATGTACATCTTATAGAGTATATTACATGGTGAGAATACAGAGAATCACTGATGATGTGTTTGTTTGGCCTGAAGGGCTGTAGTCGGTGGGCGACGTAAGTCGGAAAGACTGTAGTTGGTGAGCGACGGAGGTCGAAAGGACAGTAGTCGGTGGGCGACGTAAGTCAGAAGGACAGTAGTCGACGGGCGACGGAGGTCAGAAATACTATAGTCAGCGGGTGACGTAAGTCAAAAGGACCATAGTCGGCGGGTGACAGAGGTCAGAAGTACTGTTGTCTGATGACAAAGGCCAGAAGGATGGCGTCAGGTAGAAATCCATCAACAGATAGAAATCCAGCATCAGATTAATGTATGTGAAAGTCTGATAACAGGCAGAAGTCCGGCGTCGAGTAGAAACTTGGCGACGAGCAGAGTTTTGGCTTCGGGTAGAAGTCCGACATCAGTTGGCGGCCGAGGAGAACTCCGGCGTTGGATGATATTCAGGAAAAACTCTAACGTTATTTGGAGGTTGGGTGGAATTTCGATGTCATTCGGAGGTTGAGCAAAATTCTGGCGTCACTTGGGCAGAATCCCGGCATCACTTAGAGTTTTGGCAGAATTCTGGCATCACTTAGAAGTCGGGCGGAAGTCGGCCAGAATTCCAGCGTCACTTGGAAGTCGGGTGGAATTCCGGCATCACTTGAACGTCGGGCAGAATTCCGGCAATGGTCGAGGAGGAGTTTCTTCCCTCCTATCCTTCTCTTCTTCTTCTTGCTTAGGCCCTTCTCCTTGCTTTGGCTCTCCTTTTTTTTCCTCTAAAGAGAAATGATGGGTCTATTTATAGATTTCTGAGGATGGCATGACCCATAAATAGGTGAGAGATCAGGGGTAAATGGGGAGTGGTTAGATGGACGGCCAATATTGAATCCTTTGATCATGAACCGTTCATCAGACATTTGAAGGTCTTAATGATGTAAGAATTTGGCGATCTCGGGCTCGTTGTATTCTTCTCGTTGAGCCGCTCGATTCGACTATAAGCACGTAATATTTAGATACCGTTTGGTAACTCAAATTGCGGTTCAAACTTTCTAACAGTGCTTCGGGTCCTTGATTCAGACCCATTTGAGATTGGATTGAGTTGAATTTGGTGTCGTTGGGTTCATATTTCCAAGACAATCAGTTCGACTGTAAGTTTGCTGAAATCAGAGTTCAGGTGATCTCGAATTTAATTTTTGAAGTTTCCAGCTTGATTTTGCATCGAGATTTATGCCCGATCAAGATAATTTTTTGACAATGTATCAGTTGCCTCCCTATTTTTGGACGTCAAAGTTTTAGAAGTTCGAAAATATATTTGTCGACATTTACATTGGCAAAATCACAAAAAATTGCATTCCAAAAAATAAAAAACTCACTCAAACTTGATCATAGAGGTTCAATTAAGCTCTGAAAGTGTCAAAATTGAGTCCATAACATTGAAAAACATGTTTGGGGACCCCAAATGTCAGATTTAGACCGTCCGGGCCGTAAATCGGGCCCGAACATGCATAGGTGGACAAACCGGCAGGTCGGCCAGCCGTCCGCCACCGCTGCTGGCGGCAAGCCTGTCGCGCGCGAAACAGCGCGTCCCACACGATTAGGATTTCAATTTTTTGTTGTGTGGGGCCCACAAAAATTTTAAAAAATCCCCAAAAAATTCCAAAAAATTTTAGAAAAATTTTGAAAATCCAGAAATTTCTCCCTTCCTCCCAAAAATGCTGTAAATAGCCCCCCTAGGGCCAGGAGGAAACTTGCATTTTCTCCTTCTAGCTTTCTGACAGTTTAGGCTTTCCACTGTTTTTTAATAAGTGACTTTTCCTACTTGACTCAGCGCCCCTCTCTTGTACAGAAGTTAGAGATTTCCCCTCTTTTTCTCCTTTTGACTTTCGTATAGTGGAGGCATTCCGCTGTTTTTCATAGGTGACTTTCTCTACTTTATTTTGGCGCCCCTCCTCTTGTGTAGAAGTTAGATTTTTTGAAATCATTTCTTTTCTTTCTCCTCTAATGTTCTAACCTTCTTATAGTTGAGGCATTCCCTTATTTTTTGTAGGCGGCATCCCCTACTAAAATTCAGGGCCCCTCTTTGTGTGTAGAAGTTAGAATTTTTGCAATCATTCATTTTCTTCTCTTATGGTCTTCATTTTACATTGGAGGCATTTTATTATCGTAGATAGGAGGTATTCTCCTATTAAGCTTCAGTGCCCCTCTCTTATATAGAAGGAGATTGTTTCCTCCTTATTCTTCTTCTGCGTTCTTCTTCTTACTTTGGAGGCATTCCACTATCGTAGATAGGCGACATTCTTCTATCGAGCTTCAGTGCCCCTCTCTTATGTAGAAGGAATCACGATGAGAAGCTATCTTCTTAAAAGACAATCCTTGACAGAAGAAGATTAATTACTG